ATAGTGAAACATTTAGTTTTTGTCTTTTAAATGCAACTGTTTACAAGGAGCAAGTGATTCAAGTATACTTGCCAACTGACATTTTCCCAAGTCAGTGATTTAATTAAAAAGTAAGGATCATTTAATTCATGTATAAAATCAAACGTTTCATACTTTATCCTGTATGCATAATGAAAAAGAGAAGCCAAGTAACCACATATCATGAAATAAATCTCAGAGAAAATGTCCTACCTTCTTTGCATGTCCCATGTCCACTACAATCATTGGGACAAATGATTCCAAATTTGTCCCTTGGTGGACCCCATTCTCCGTCTACTGTCTCCCACTGAGTGCTTTTGTAGATCAGATCACTCTTACAATGATAGAGGATGTCTCTAAGGGTTTCCTCTGCCCAACTTTTATCATCAGTAAGCTACAAGAGACAGACCATTTAAAATATAAATATTTATATAAGAATTTAAAATATAAATAATATTGAAAGGCAACAAAGACTCATACTAATGATCAAAATTTGTTTTTCTTGAAAAGAGAGATTTTTTTTTTATAGAATCAAGATATCCCTATAGGTTTGAAAGTTATCAAAAGTTTAACAACATATATGTTCAACTCAGCCAGTGCAAACTGAGACTTAAAAATCTGGACATTGATATTTGTCAGAAAATGGCTGCATACCAGGCTCCTGGTTATTTTTTGTTAAGAAAACTATGCAACGCACTTTTAATCTTTATAGTTAAGCACCAATCTGAAACATGGATATTTGAATCAAGGGACACGTATTTCACAATCATGATTGAGAGCTACTCGCTCATTATTATTCTGTAGAAGTGTGCCAAATATCAAGAAGTAAAGAAAAATATGCAAGATTGGTTGAGTTTGTTTATAAAGTTTTACAAAAGCCTACAATGTTCAACAATATACATATCTTTGCAAGAAATGACGTACGACTGGTGATTTCGTAATTTGTATGTAATTTGTGAATTGTATATAACACGGATGGATATCAAAACCTGTGTGATTCGTGTCTTCTGAAAAACAAGAAGACACAAATCCATTTAGATTTTTTTGCTAAATTGTCAGATTTCTTAATGTAGTAAAATTCACATCCAATAATAATTATTTAAAATATTGATACATTTTTTAATTCACATTTAGAAAATAAGATTTGCAATTTCTTTATACAATCCCAACACCTTTATGTCTGTGACACAGTCCTGGAGGGCATTGTTTACAAATGTGGACGAAATGTAACCTTTACACATATTTCCAGCAGAAGAGTTCGTAACAAACTGTGAACAATACTGCATGGCTTCCGCTTCCGTGATATTACTAGGGGTTGGCCAGCTCCCAGTCTGAAATATACAATATTAATACATGTAAATTCAAATTTAATTCTTTCTTCAGCTTTTACTTTAATATTAAAGACGAACAGTTTGAATTATAAATCGGAATGGTCTTCTTAATTTTTTTTTGAACGCTATTGGATACTTTGAAATATGGTTGCTGAAGGTTAAAAATAACTTTGTCAGTAAATTGCTCCTTAATTTCGACAAAACAAATTGCGCTGTCATGCTTTTGAACACGATCATTAAAGTAGAACCTATACACAAACAGAACATATCACATACCTTCTTTTAAATGAGTATATACATGCTTAAAAGTTTGGGTTATTTGTCACTCTCGAAAATAGGCATACATACAGGTGCATTATGTGAAGGATCGTATTTAAAGATGGAAGCCGACGCCGACTCTTTTAGGAAACATTTCGTGGTCTCTTCTGCATTATTCTCCAATAATTCAGCAGTAATATCTTTCCCTAAGAGAAAAAAAAGTAACATTATTAATTTATTCGGGATTATTCTCCAAAAACTTTAGGATAGATGATCCAAACAAATAAGTAGATGCCTGGATTGATATACATTTTGTACCTATTTTATTGTAAATAATGCAAATATAAAAATTCGAAAATATTAAGAAATTGTAACCTTTCTGTGTTGTTCAAAATTCTACTTTTTTTTGCTGCCACCCTTATAATTCTATACATTTTTTTAAAATCACTTTATATGACATTGAAAGAAAATTGAAATCTATGCGGTTAAACGTATTTATCTTATTTATAAAAAGCATGGTTTTAGGTGTTAGTTTCATTATTTAAAAAAATTTTGTATCATCTGTCCTAGAAAGAGATGTTCTTGGTAAATAAAAGCAAGTTTTCTAGTTTGTTTGACATACATTTTTTGTGGTACATTAACATATCTTTATTGTTCATATATCATAATCAGAAATGAACACTTTACATAATTTTTACCAAAAAAAATATATTCCATTTTTGTTTAATTTGATAATCCCATTAGTATAATTTTTTTAATTGCTTGATTCTTTTTTCAATTTGACAAATATAATTGTAGATTGCCTCTCTCGGTTCCATTCTTAGTTTCCAGTGCCGGGAAACAGTCCTGTACTTGATTTTCTACTGAGCAGTGATCCGCTTCATGCACGTTACAAACACAAAAGCTGTATGTTGGATCCGCCTCAAAGTCATCAGGACAGAATCCTTTGTACAGAGATTGTTCAATTGTCTCATTGATTCTGTATCATGAAAACCATAAACAATTATAATCTTTATCATTACAGACTTATTTCACTTTGATAAAATTTATGGCAATAAATGTCTGTACAAGTATTTAAAGATGAAACTTCAAAAATTGGTACATTTTCAGTTATCGTACTTATTATCTTATTTTCCCATACCTCCAGCTGCGATAGGATCTCTCCGGATTGTTTTCATTAAAGCCATACCATGACCCGTCTCTCAATATTCCGTCATCATAAAATATATTGTTCCATAGACCACATAACCCTACGATAGTTGTATTATCAAAAATACAACATCACTAAATAGTATAAAAATCTTTCAATCCATGGTAGGTATAATCTCACATTGGACAATCCGCTTTGCAGTGCTCTTATCATTAAATTGCCTATATAATTCTATAAAAATCACACTAATTACTCTTTTAAAAATTTATGCCTTGAATAACTATTTTTAAACGTTGTCGGTCGTATGACAGTATGCCAAGGAAGCAAGAAAAATTCCAAAAATGCCAAGAAAAATTTCAAGGAACTTTTGGAGAATTTGAAATCACTTTACCAAAATCAACAGCTTAAAAACTTACGACTTTTCAACTTTATACACAACCATTCCCCACCACGATAAATTAAAAGTAAATTCAAGGCTTTTTGATATCATTGACAGAGCTCTGCTTTTTCAATAAAAATGGAACTTTACCATTAAATTTACTTACCATGTCATTGGTCATTTGCAAAATTATATTGTTAAAATATTGTATTCATATGAAGCAGAATTTGTCCAAAATCTTATACGTGAAAAGAAGAAAACACTTGCTATGGCCTTCAACTCGACATTAAGATATATCGACGACGTATTGTCAATTAACAATGGTTATATTTCAATTCTTATGTCGATACGATATATCCCGGTGAGCTTGAGATAAAAGATACCACAGAGTCTAACACATCTGTTTCATATTTGGATATTTTACTTGAAAAAGACGTTAATGGTAATCTAAAAACCAAGCTTTATGATAAACGTGATGACTTTAACTTTTCAATCGTCAACTTCCCTTACTTTTGCAGCAGTATACCTTCATCACCTGCATACGGGGTTTATATCTCTAAGTTAATCCGATACGCAAGAGAATACTCTACGTATATACAATTTCTAAAACGAGGTAGATTATTGACAAACAAATTGATGAAACAAGAATATCAGCAGTCTCGTTTAAAGTCATCATTTCGTAAGTTCTATGGTCGATACAATGGCCTTGTCAGCAAATACAATTTATCATTGAGTCAAATGCTGACTGACGTTTTTCATACTAATTGTTAGGCCCATTATTTACACACTGAATTGTCGACGGATTTTTCCGTTATTTCCCGATCATGACAAGGAGCACACAGCGGGTGTGACCGGTCGGCAGGGGATGCTCACTCCTTCATGGCACCTGATCCCACCTCTGATGTTTTGGAGGTCCGTGTTTGCTCTGCTCCTATTTTGCATTGTTTAATGGACTTTTGAGCTTGAATACTGTTCGTTATCTCCATATATTTCATGCACTTGGACTAGCCGACAAATTTAATATCGCACGTTAGCCATGGCCAGGTGCAGTATTTCGACTAATGACATTCAAAAATAATTTGATGTTTATATTTAAATTCTCTTAATTCCTCCTCTTTATTGATGTTAATTTTTATTTGTCTTTAAAATAAGTTTAACACTTTTTAGAACTGGATTGGGTAATAAATCGATTGATTGATTGTATGTAGTTTTACGTCCAATTCGAGAATTTTTCACTCATATAGAGACGTCACCATATACCGGTGAAGGGCTTCAAATTTAGACCTTTACTCGACCCTCAGGTCCATTGAGCAGTGAGGGATCTTTATCGTTCCATCGCTTGCCGTGACACGGGACCTCGGTTTTTAAGGTCTCATCCAAAGGACCCGCAACTTTCACTTCGAAGTGCCAAGCGCTTGGCGAAGAAACAGTTGCTACCTATTTTTTATCAATTTAGGCCGAGATGTGAACTCACGACCTTCCGATCAGGGAGCGAGCGCTCTACCAACTTTGTTACAATTTTTTTTTTCAAGAATTTTATATGGTTTTTACATTCAATGTGCAAATACAATACACATTGGTATGGCTAATTATTGAAGACGAATGAACTTCCTGTTTTGTAGTCTTATGCAGTTTAATGTATGTTCATATGTGATTGAATCTTTTTGATTTCCAATGCAATTCAAATAAGAAAAATAATGATTGCAAACACTTTTAACGTTTTCCTTCTATCTATTTAGTTTCAACTTTTCAAAAATAGCATATTTCTAAATCGTGGAATTTTCTTATCTTTTCTTACGATTTCTGGAATATAGTTCTATCTTCTAGAGATTTTTGCTGAATATGATTTAACTGCTTGCCTCTAGAATTTTTCCAGTCAGCTGGCGTTGTTCTATACCAGATGTTGAGGAAATTCGGACGATTTCCCTTGCCATTCTCAATCGTGACAACAGATCCATGAGGTAGATAAACCTGTTAATAATAAAGAGGACAATGGTTGACAGGTCATACTAATTAATCATATGAAATTATGGTTATTAGTTGAATTTCTCCAGTTCGTTATATACAGGATGTTTGCTGTACCCGTTTTCTCATTAGGAAAACTAGATGTCAAGGATAGAACTCTGTTTAACAGAAAATGTCTGGTCATTCGTTATGCTGTTTAAATGAAATGGAGCTAATCAGAGCTTTAAATGATAGATTTAGGGGCAAATCAATCCAATAGCAGTTACGGTCACTGGGGATGCAACCTGCTTGAATGCCTTTTAACCATCAACCTTAAAAAGCTTTTGAGCATATTTTTGTCGTGACCTCCATTTAAAAAATTCTGCACAATGTTTTAGTTCTTACAATAAATTTGGATTCTACAATGCTAATTAAACTATATTCAATTAAAACTCCATGATTAAATTCCATACCGAAAGCATTAAGAAAGGTACTATATTTTGTGACGAAAGGCTTTTTTGGAAGAATTTGATCAATTTGTCTCTTTCGAAGTATTTACAGTATTGTTAAGTTTGGAATCCTATTTTTACATGCAGCCTGCACACAGAGCTATTTTGTGCAGTGAAATGTTTTATAACTATCATGAATTCTATCATCATTTTTTACAAATATAGCAAAATATATTGTGAAAGTCCTGGAAAAAATAGCCCAATTTAATCTTAAAATTTACACTCTTTTAATATCATCTAAAAATTAACACCAAAGACTCCCTTTTTTAATTCTCTTCGCTGAACATTTAAGAAAATTTTAGCCATTCTGCTTAAATTCAGAAAAAATGTCATTACTTGCAAATGATTTTATTGCTTGTTAAATTTTAATGCCAGAAAAATGACATTATTTGAGTGCTTAAATTCAGAAAAAATGTCATTACTTGCAAATGATTTTATTGCTTGTTAAATTTTAATGCCAGAAAAATGACATTATTTGAGTGCAGAAAGGTCAAATTATTGACTATGTCACGTTATTTGAAACTTTTATGTTGCCAAAAATTTTACTGTGATTATTCAAGATGAAAAAAAGACTGTGTTTGTTCCCATAATTTATTTGGATAAAAAATATTAGAGGAAAACTTTGAAAAATTGATTTGTGTGTTAGACGTACATGTAATTACAGTACAAAAAGGTCATATAAATTGCTCCGTAGTGCCAAAAGAAGAGCATTGACTCCCGTTTCTGCTTTGATTTTTAATTAAGCTAAGTGTGTAAATTCTAAAAATAATACTCGATAAAATATTCTCAAAAATTTTGAGAACAGGATCCAACGTCCTTAACGCTTCGTTTTAAAATTCAATCTTCTGGAGAAATCAGAAAATTCGGAAAGTTTACATGCAAACAAACAGAGAACTGACAAAAAAAATGCTAGAAAAAAGTCGATATGAATTGTTTCAGAGTGCAGAATTTCTTACATTATACTTTTGGCCTCCACCAAAGGAAAATATCCTGGTTCCTTTAGTTAGTTGACCATTGAGGTATAGCGTGATCTTCAAAGGTTTAAAGGTTCCTGGTACTGATATTGTTGGTCCACATTTGTCAAAAACAATGACATCATCACCGGATTTTACTGCTACTGCACAGTTACAAGTGGCATTTCCCTCATCGCAACGTCGATAAAACGTTCGGACCTAAAGTGGCAGATGTTATTATATCAAATGAGTTATTATGTGGTCATACTTAAATTGAGATTTTGGCTATAGATAACATATCTCTTGATTTTTATCCATTTAAGCTATATAAATATGCATTTTATTTACTTCAATCTTTGTTCTAATTGATGTAAAAGGTACAGTACATGTGACTTAAAGCTTACTTCGTATGGTCCCGATTTGTAAATATAGAATATGAATTCTCCCTCCAAAAAATTGTCAATGTGCCTAAAAATACATCTTATTAAAAGCATTTGTAAGAAGAGTATTTAACAACAATATTTCTACACTGTTTACAATAAAGGTTTTTAACTTACCACCCATCAAACAATATTTATACATTGTTTACAATAAAGGTTTTTAACTTACCACCCATCAAACAATATTTATACATTGTTTACAATAAAGGTTTTTAACTTACCACCCATCAAAAAATATTTATACATTGTTTACAATAAAGGTTTTTAATTACCACCCATCAAACAATATTTATAATTGTTTACAATAAAGGTTTTTGACTTACCACCCATCAAACAAAATTTATACATTGTTTACAATAAAGGTTTTAACTTACCACCTATCAAAAAATATTTATACATTGTTTACAATAAAGGTTTTTAACTTACCATCCATCAAACAAAATTTATACATTGTTTACAATAAAGGTTTTTGAATTATCACCCATCAAACATTTTTTTTACATTATTTACAATAAAGGTTTTTGACTTATCACCCGTCAAACAAAATTTATACATTGTTTACAATAAAGGTTTTTGACTTACCACCCATTTAACAAAATTTATACATTATTTACAATAAAGGTTTTTAACTTACCACCCATCAAGCAATATTTATACATTATTTACAAATAGAGGTTTTTGACTTAACACCCATCAAACAAAATTTATACATTATTTACAATAAAGGTTTTTGACTTACCACCCATCAAACAATATTTACACATTATTTATAATAAAGGTTTTTAACTGACCACCCATCAAAAGTGGTAATGTGTGGATCGTTGATGGACTTGCATATACTACTGGCACCGTCTGACACGTAAACCTAGAAACAATTATTTGCATTAATAAAACATTCCACCAAGAAACTATACCACTTATGTTCTATAAACATTTTGGTAACTATGGTAACTATACTACCGACAATTTAGAAATTACGATTTAAGAAGCTCAGAACTTTTATTTGTCTCTTGTATATCTTGTAACAATTACAATTTAATGTATCTGGATCATAAACAACTCATGTATGATTATCACAAGTACAAACTGACTGCACTGGTAATTGCCCTATAGCAACTTATTTCAAGGGCAGCATTAATACACCTATTTGTATTTCTGCTTCATCTTAATTTGACCATTTTAAAGCGCCTGTCATAATAGGCTACATGCATGCATGGTCATTAAAAATTCATATCAATTTTATCAATTATAACAAACTTCAAACTACATTTCTTAAAAACCTTAGCATATTACCACGAATAAGTGGAATGTTGTTCTTTAGAAGATTAAATTTTATGCCTCCATGGCACCTGATCCCATCTCTGATGTTTTTGGAGGTCTGTTATCGAATTTAAGAGATTTTAAACTTTGATATCTCAAAAATAAAGTTCAAAAAGTAACTATGAGTAGAGTTTCATGGTAAATCAAGGTATCAAAGTATTTACTATAGATAATTATTGGAAACCATAGTAACCGATCGTAAACTATAGTTAATTTTTGTAAGGATTATTCATACGTGACCCTTTAGTGTCACTAGTGTCATTTATGTAATATAAAAAGGAAAAACGTCAACTAAAATCAATAATTACACTTTCTGCATAAACCTTTAATTGAATGTAGCTTAGTAAGAAAGTAGACCTTACATCTTTTGCATATCAGTGTTTGCACAGACATTGGAGGAAGCGAAGGACATTATTACAGGTTCAGAAGTCGTTGCATGCCACAGTGAAATTTAATCATTATTAAATGTACAATTATTCACTGTCATGAAAAAAAGCTAAATGTTTTTATTAAAGTTTATTCAACACATATATATCATGGATCATTTTCTCTCTCTCTCTCTCTTTCTCGTTATATAAAATGATGTTCTACTTGCCTTCACAGATTTATCTGCAATACTAGTGTTATTTGATTTGCCATTACAAATGGGCTCCACAGAAATGTTAAGAGTTCTCTGTAAGTATGCTCCATCAAGTATTCTATTGATAGCTGCATGAACAGGAATGTAAAACGGAGCTACCCAGTTCGACATTGTTATTGGAATTCCACAAAAAGGAGGTATATGCTGTGTTTGTAAGCTGAAATATAGATGGAACATAATTATGTCTCCGTGTAAATTGATCAATGTTAATCAGAATATAGGGACTGTATGCGAAGGGTGTTTTTAACCTTCTTATTTTCTCAAAGTATTGTTGTCGGTTTTAATTTTCAAAAACTTTATGTTTTTATTTAGATAAGACATTTTTTACATTATGATTGTTTTGTAATAAAAGAATTAAACGATTATCATTGTATCGCTGGACGTTATGTATCATACCTGTAAATAGCTGCAGAACTGTAGCGTTATGGTTTTATATTTTAGTCTTTTACCATAACTCTATATGGTCAAAGACTAATTAAGATATTAAACCATAACGCTACAGTTCTGTAGCTAACCTGTAAAGGATAAGAGCCATATTTTGCTTATTAGAATCCGGGCATGTTCGCTCTGTGTCTGTAAAATGTGTGAGTATCTTTACGTAACATCGGTTCGCGGGCCTTCTGACTTCTGGTGGACAAAACAACATAGGAGGAACCGGAAGTAGAAGTTTAATATTAGCTCCTACTCTCGCCTCCCAGACGTACACGGTGGGTGTGTGTACCTACAAAGTTTAAACTGCAATCTGATTACTCTTTGAAAAGTATTTTTTTTCATTCGAAATAGTTAAATCTGCTTTAATTTAATTCAAGGAAATTATTTACATAAAATTCATTACTAGCTCTAAAGACTTATATTGTCGTAAAGCAGGTGAGCTTCACATATTAATATCAATGTACATAAAAATGGTATAATCATCACTTATTTCATTAGTTTATATAAATCAAAATAACACAGTAACTGCAAATATTTCTTTTAAAACGAAGATGTTAGACAATGTTGCATTTAATGATTTTTTGTTTTAAAAAATCGGGTGCGAGAAAGTACTTACAAAAGTATGGCTGAACTCGATATCTCATAAATCTTATATCATATTTCCAATTAATTTTTTTACTTAGAAATGATGTATTTAAAATCAAGCTTTTTTTTTGCAAAACAATAATAAATAAAGATTACTTCAACATCAGCTGTGATGACATTGCTTTTGAATGACTTTCCCAATGTTGTCTCACAACTTGAGGCAAAACATGGTGTCACATTGCAATATGTCTGAAAAGAGATAATTAAAAAACTTCTTCATTCTGATAAGCTTTTGACTCTTCACATTTAATTATTTTTAAGCTTTTTGAATTTGTATGACACGTAATAGAAGATTCGGAGGTATATAGTCTTTATCCTGTCCAGGTGTCTGTCTGTTAATCTGTTTTTTTTTTGTCCACAGAAACATTAACCTTGCCCTAACATTGGTTGTAGCTATGACTTTTATATTTTACATGTACATTCCTTCTGATAAGACCTTTCTTTGGGTATGCCAACACATTTGATCTTTTGAACTTGACCTCGGAGTTTGACCCACTTTTGCAAAATAATAATACTAATAACCTAACATTTGGCGCTTGGGCTTTTTTACTTCGCAAATGTATTTATTGTGACGAAACCTTTCCATAAATATTAAATATTTTTGACATTTTAAATTTGACATTATAGTTATACACACTTTTAAAAAAAACTTTCAACATTCGCCATATCTTTTGAACGGTTAGTACTGGACTTTTGCGAGAAGCACTTTCTTTTACAATTTACACTAGGACAGTATATGGAAGCTCTTTTGCGATATAAATATTAAGCTTAACAGTTAATTAAACGATGATATAATGGGCCATTTCAAAGCACATATTACGTTGTCTAGGAAGGAAACGGCAACCACCCTATCTTCAACCCCCTCCCTTCCCACATTGACAAACTCTTGTTTAGTTTTCCCTCCGTAATGATTTTTCTTCCTTATTTGATTCCTTCAGAAAATGAGATTAAAAGGAGATGCAAACCCTCACGAATAAGGTAATTTAAGCGACGTAATTCTGTCTACCATCATCTCTTGCGTTGATTGCATAACAATTAATAATTCCAATGCCCCAAACAAAATACCTATAACCACTATTAAGGTTTTCTTATCTTTCATCATTTCTGTACCCCCATACATAAGACAGCTTTATATGTCAAAGTAAGCCGTCGACTGTAAAAGCTTCTCACAAAAGACCACTAGGGCCTTGCCATTTCACAAGTTTATTTTTTGTGACAAAACTTTTCAATGGATATAAATATTTTTGTCCTTTTGACCTTGACCTTTGAGATTGACGTATTTTGAAAAACTTTAATCCTGGCCATAATATTTGAACAGTACGTGCTAGGGATTTAATATTTCACATGTTTTTCTTATGACAAGGAATATTCTGGGTACAATTAATTTTGACCCTTTGACCTTGTCCTTGGAGTTTGATTTAAAACTTTGGCCAAAACTTTTGAAAGGTTGGTGCGTGGGCTTTCATATTTCAAATGTATATTCATTCAGACAAGTCTTTCTTCGGGTAACAATATTTTTGATCTCTTGTCCTTGACCTTGGAAATTAAATTTGCATTGACGAAACTTCATCATCAGCTGCCATACAGAGGCATCAATGTTTTACAAACACATCTTGTTTGTACCAAACAATTGTAAATATCCAGACGCTTCTCCTTTAAACGCCCCAAAACTTGAACTCACAGCACAATTGTATCATAATTTATCCTGTCAGTTTTACATGTTATTAAAATTTCATGATTTAATGTTGAAAGAAACTGTTGAACCATAACTGATTAATGACTATTCACTTCATGCAGTCAGTAAAAGTTTACTTAATGGTGATTAAATAGTGACGAAATAGAAGGTAAAAGTTCCAATAACTATATGATCACAATTTCTAGATATTCTAAGATGACTATTATAAAACAGTTCCATAAAAGCTAATTTTTCCTCGAAATTTTCTGTGTATTTTCAGTTACCCCTAAAGAGTATAATTCTGTTGATAAACTGTTGAGTAAACTTAATTGTCATTAAGAAAAAACACATTAAATTTCGTGCACATACATTGTATACATAAAAGACATTTGATTTCTTAACCAAATCGTATATTAACCAAAATCAATTTATTCATAAACACTAAATTTAAATTTCTGTTTTTATTGCTATTCCCTCCTAACGACACCAGAGGACATTTTTGATCGTGACTTTCTTCCAAATACTGAGATGAACACGAACCTTACAAAAAATGTTCTCCTCCTAGTTTACTTACCTTGACCCCAATTCCCCCGACTCCATACTCAGATTCACTCATGGCTAAAGGTACAGTTCCGGTTGCGTTCAGATGTACTTTGGCCTCTCTATCGTTCACAAAAAACTGAACCTTGTACCAAACATCATTTTGTGCGAGTTTGTAGAAATGACAATAACATGTAACTACATCGGTAGTGGAATCGTAGTGGAAATAAATCCAAGGGTTTCTACTCAAGTCCGGTGCACCTTAGTAAAAGAAAACTAATTAACTTATGATAATAACTTGCTATCTTCATACGCATAAACATGAACACAACACTTTTATAATTTACATTTCTACTTCATAATTTCTATAACTCTCCTATTCTCATTAGAGAAGTGGAAAGGCTGTAGGAGAAAGCCTGTCTACTTCTCTAAAGAGAATATAACCCTTCCTCTATATCAACACTAATTAAGAGAGCTACAATGTGGCGGTTAACCAAGCGAATGTTACAAAAATATTAAAATATATACATAAACAAGTTCATTATTCCTTGATTAGGACTGAGAAGTGATTCGTGGGATA